TAACAATAAAAAAAATAAATTACAAAAAAACAAAAAAACCTCAAGGAGATACTAGCATATACCTATTAGATAGCTAGCTAAACTGAAGAGACTGACCATACCAAGTGCTGGTGGGGATGGGGATGCAGAATTGAAACTCTTAGACTCCTGGAGGAATATAAAATGGTATAATCACTTTGGAAAACAGTTTGGCAGTTTCTTAAAAAGTTAAACATAATCTACCATATAGTTCCATTCCTAGGTATTTATCCAAGGGAAAAGGAATATATGTTCGCACAAAGGTTTACCAACATTCACAGCAATTTACTCACAATAATCCCAAATTGGAAACAATCCCAATGTCCATCAACAGGAGAATGGGTAAACAAATTGTGGTATGTCTAAACAATGTACACTACTCAGCAAGAAAAGGAGTGAACTACTGATACACACAGCTTGGATGAATCTCAAAAGAATTAAGCTGTGAAATGCTAAGACAAAAAAAAGAGTACATACTGTTATTATTCCGTCCACATAAAACTCTAGAAAGTGCAAAATAATCTATAGTGAAGGACAGCAGATCAATGATTGTTTGAAAAAGGTGGGAGAGGGGTGGGAGGGATAACCAAAGGGCAGGAGGAAACTTTTGCGCATGATGGATGCATTCACAATCTTGATTGTGAAGATAGGTTCATGTGTGTATATAGGCGCACACACGTGCGCACACACACAGATGTCATAACTTGCCAACTTGTACACTTTAAATACAGAGGGTGCTGGCCGGCCGAGTGGCTCAGTTGGTTAAGAGTTGGCTTGGGAGTGCGAGCTCTGAACAGCAGGGCCACCAGTTCGGTTCTCACATGGGCCAGTGATACTGCACCCTCTACAGCTAAGATTATGAACAGTTCAACCTGGAGCTGGGTTGCTGTGAGTGGCCAGCGACGGTGGAGGCCACAGTCCCTGCTGCAGTGGGCTGCTGTGAGCTATGGTGAGTGGCTGGCAGCCAGCGTGAGCAGCCGGCAGCCAGCAAGAGCTGCCGTGAGCCTCCGTGAGCGGCCGTCCAATGGCCAGGGACCGACTGTCTCAGCCAGTAAGAGTGCAATGATCATACCAACATGGGCCAGTGAAGCGGTGTCCTCCACAACTACACTGAAGAACAAAAGGACAGCAACTTGTCTATTCCCCTTCCCCAATTCCTCAATGCTGTTCCCCTCCCCCAATTCCCCAATAAAATCTTCAACAAAAAAAAAGAATATAGAAACCTCTTAAGGTATCTTCTCATTTTCCATAGTACATGTATGCAGTATGATCAAAAACTTCAGTGAACACTTAAATTTTAAAAAAAAAAACTATAGTAAAAGACACATTGCCATTAACCCCCCTCAAAATACTCCTCCTCGCTTCAAACACACTTATCCCATTGTTCTTGCCATTTTCTGAAGCAGTTCTGGAAGTCCTCTTTTGTGAGCGTCTTTAATTGTGCTGTCGTGGCTGCCTCGATGTCATGAATCATTTTGACTTGGGAAGAGCCAGAAGTTGCACGGTGCCAGATCCAGTGAATAAGGTGGATGAGGACACACCATAATGTTTTTATTTGACAGAAATTGCCATATACCAGAAGCAATATGTGACATGGAGCTTTTCCATTGTGATCACAAAATACGGTGAATGTTGTTGCCGAGTGCCTCCAATGGAAAGGCACAGATCTTCAATACGGGAAGCGGAGCTGGCCGAGTGGCTCAGTTTGTTAAGAGCTCACTGAAGATTGTGAGCTCTAAGCAACAGTGGTTCAAGTTCTGGCCCGAGCTGAGCTGCCGCTGAGCTGCCAACAGGTGACAGGATGGCTCAGCTAAAATTAAAAAAAACCAAGCATACGGGAAACGGTATGTTGAACCTTAGTAACTGTATGACAACTTTCAGCTTGTTTAGTGCAGTCAGTCAGGTGTGAGCTACAGTTGAGAGACGGTGTGCTTTAAAGTGTGCCGTAAATCATTCTCCATCATGTAACGCTCCATGTCACACATTGCTTCTGATACAGCAATCTATATCAAATAAAAACATTACGGTGTGTCCTTATCCACCTTATTCACTAGATCTGGCACCGTGCAACTTCTGGCTCTTTCCCAAAGTCAAAATGACCATGAAAGGTAAACATTTTGAATCAATTCAGGATATCGAGGCAGCCTCGACAACACAACTAAAGACACAAAAGAGGACTTCCAGAACTGCTTCAGGAAGTGACAAGAATGATGGGATAAGTGTGTTCAAAGCCAGGGGGAATATTTTGAGGGGGAATGCTGGCCATGTGTCTTTTACTGTAATAAAATTTTTATTTATTTAAACATTCACCATGTTGTTTGATCACACCTTGTACTTCAAGAGCTATATGATAAATTTGTTCTCTTTAATTCTTTATGAAATAGTAGAAATAACGGTATCCCATCAACTATGATTTCACTTTAAACAAGACTTACTGATTCTTAATTTAACAGGGATTCTTTAGTGTCTTGGGCAAAGATTAAATGTAACTATAAAAGAGAAATGCTATGAGAACAAATGCTTGTAAAATGCATTGCAAAGGCAAGGAAGGAAGCAGGAATCATCCCTGATTCTTCCCTGTCCCCCACCCCCAACATGCACTCATCAAGCCCACTGGATTAATAAACTAAATACTTCCCCATTACCCCTACCCTAGACAAACTCACCACCACCTTTTTCCTAGGCCAGGAAACAGCAAACTTATAGACATTCTGGCCAAATCTGGCCTGTCACCTATCTTTGTAAATAAAGTTTTATTGGAACACAGTCATGTTTCTTCATTTGTATATTGTCTTTGGCTGTTTTCATGCTACAATGGCATAGTTGAGGAGGTGTTACTATCTATCCTACAAAGTCTAAAATACTTATTATCTGACCCTTTACAGAAAAAGTTTGCCAAGTAGGCTATTAATAATCATCTCAATAATCTCCCTACCACCCATTCAATTCATTCTCCAAACTGCAGCCTGAGTGAAAGTTTTAAGAGCACAAATCTGATCGTTCATTCTTCTGCAAAGATAATCCCAAACTCCTTAAGGTACCCAATTTTGCTGTGTATAATGTGCTCCTGTGTATAATGCGCACCCACGTTTTTGGCCCAAACTTTCAGGGAAAAAAATCTTTGGTTTTAATTTAAATTTTTATTTGTTTACATTTAGGTACTTGTTTTTTGCGTTATAAAGGAATTTCAGCATTTATTTTTTTTAACATATTATGGTACAAGAATTTTTAGGTAACAAATAGTTACAAAACAAAGGAACAGATATGAGGTACAAGAAATTTTATGTACCGGTAAAAAATTTATAATATTTATGCATCATAGAAGGCTAAGAACTCTTCATCCTTGCAAGTTTGTGGTAAGTTCAACAAAACCGATTATTGCATTCCAGGGTATTATTTTGCATAAGGATATCGTTGATTTCTAGAGTCACACTTTTAATTCATAAGCACAAATGAAAGAATTAAAAACATTTATATAGATATGGGATTAGTACTACCCATGTACTATATTTCCCCACGTATAAGACACACCCTTTTTCAAAAAATTTGGGGTCTAAAAACTGGGTGTGTCTTATACAGTAGTTGTAGGGTTTTTTACTTGCATTTCCTGCTTTTTTTGCACTTCTTTTTGCGCTCATTGTTGTAGATTTTTTTACTTGTGTTTCCCACTTTTTCGTGCCTGCTGTCTTTGCGCTCATTGTTTCGCACTTGTTACCGGTATATTACGGTAGGTTACTTTTTGCAATGTTCTGCCCAGAAATTGTTCAGAAAAGATTTTCATACAGTGCTGAATTCAAGTTAAAAGTGACCCAGTTTGCAAAAGTGAATGGAAACTGTGCTGCTGAACGTACGTTTGGTCCTCCTCCAACTGAGAAAACAATCCAAGACTGGCTACGGGAAGAAGAAACCCTACTGAAAACGCCACAGCAGAAGAAGGCCATGAGAGGAAAGTCAGCAAAATGACCAGATTTAGAGAGGGAATTGAAGATATGGATTGAAGAGCAAAGGGCAATTGGGTGATTCGTCATCAGACACAGATGAGGACAAGCTAATGGTTGGGAGTTTTGACAGTGATGAGGAGTTGTATGAATTTTATGATGAATAAAACTTGAGTTCAATAACTTTATGTAATACATTTTTGTCAAATTTCGGGCCCAAAATTAAGGTGCGTCTTATACATGGGAACGTCTCATACATGGAGAAATATAGTATAATGCACATCCTTATTTTTCCCTCATAAATTTGGGCAAAAAAGTGCACGTTATACATAGCAAAATACAGTAACTCCTTTTACAACCCCCTATATTTCCATTATTCAATTCAAACTTTACATTCCAGTTATTATATTTTATATTTTAATCTCTTCATATTTATCTTGCTCTACACTTTGGGCTTTCAGCATGTACTATTTCTCCCAACTGGGACACTCTTCCTTTTTCCTAGCTAATTCCAGGTCACTGCTCAGGTTCTCCCTGTGAATGTTATTTTCTCCAAGAAGCTATTCCTGACTCCCTGGGTTGGGATTAGGTGGTACTGAACATTCTCCATCACCTTATTAAACTCTAATGCATAATTAATTCATTGCCAGGCCAAATCAAGAGCCATGCGAGGGCAGAGACAAGCTCTGTGATATTAACTATATCCTTGCAACAAGCAGAGACTAGTATGTACAAGGCATTCATACTTTATTGTTCAAATAAATTTCTCCTTTGCATCATGGCCTAACAATCCCAAGAACTTTTTCTCAGTGAATGTCCAGAAATAATCAGGTAGATTTAACCAATTAAGATAAATGTCATGTATAACCATGGCAGAATTGACAGCAAAATCTAAAACCCTACAAAACTTTCAAAAAGACAAATTCTGAGCACATCATGTGCTTTTTAGTATATTACCAGAAGAAAACCTTGATCTTCAGAACTTATCATTCTAGACCATATTTAATGTAAACAACAAAAACAAGAAAGTAAAAGGATTATTACCTGTTCTTCTCTCTCCTTTTCTTTGGTCTTAATTCTGTAGACTCTGGCGGAGGTGGCATCCTGGGATGGAATGGCAGAGAGCTGATGCAGTGGTATGCTCATCACAGCCTCCTGTCTGCTCGTCTTCTTCACAGAAGACAGTCTCCAGTGGTAGAGTCATTTTGGGCCATGGACTTAAAGCTGAGAGAGAAGACAAGACATAAATGACATAAAACACTTCAAATTTTCAACAGTTAAATTAGCATTTTATATTTATATTTAAATAAGTTACCATGACTGACATAAATACTTGGTCTTCAAAAATAACAGAAGGTGACAGAATTGGCAGCAGTGAGGAGGGCTCCCTGAGTTCTCCCCTGGAAATTACCGCAAATTGAACAACTATAACTCATCCGAGGAACCCCTGCTCTTCACACAGAACAGCTAAGAGACTCTCACGACGATTACTTGAAGGTGGGCAAACCAGGAGAGTGGGGAAAAAGGAAAGGGAGACGTGCGAAGACGCGGGGCCCCAGGAAGTAGATCGGAGAGTATTACCACAGCAAGGCAACAGGCTCACTCCCTACACCCCACAGTCCCACTGAGAGTTCAGCATAGAGCACGGCAAAGTGTGTGACGCAGAAGCCTTAGCTCAAAACTGCAGCAGGACTTTCTTGGACAGAAAGCAAAAACAACTGCATAAATAAGACCCCACTCCCACCCTCCCTCAGAAACCATAACCCCACCATTCCAGAATCTTAAACTGATCCCTGAATGGAGGAGTATTGTCAGATTACAGAGGTGCTCCTGCTCCTAGGAGGTGGAGGGACTCGGCTAGGGAAGAGGCTGCAGAGTGTGGGACTGCCCTCACCTTTCCTGGGCAGCTTGGCTCCAGGCAGGGCAACTTCAGCTTCTGAGTCACTCCTTGGACCCCAGCAGGGGGCTTTTAGCAACTCAGAAATCTCACAACCCTCACAGCCCCCAGCAGAAAGAGTGTCCTAAGACGCACATAGAGCCTTCTGGCTGCGGAGCTCTCAGCGTGCTTCTGGGCAGGCGAGAGCAGAAACGGCACTGACTTTATAAAAACGACCAACTACACCCCATAGCCCCACTAATTTAGAACTGCATTGCCAGGGTCACTCTGGGCGCCAGGTGGCCGGCTCTGACCCCACAAGACGCAGAGAAGTTTATGTAAAGCAGAGGACAACTGGAAGATAGCATGGTGGACTTTAGCCAAAACTGGCACTGGTTTTTGGGGGGGTTTTTTGGCGTTTTGTGTGTGTGTGTGGGGGGGGTTTTTTTTGGAGGGTTTTTTTTAAAATTATTATTTTGGTTGCTTTTGTTTTTCTATTTCATTATTATCATTTTTAGTTTTTTATATATGTATGTATATGTATGTGTGTGTGTGTGTGTGTGTGTATATATATATATATATGTCCATATATATAGGTATGTAGACATTTATATATATATATATATGTTTGTTTTTTTTCTTTTCTCCCCTCTCTCCCTTCTTTTCTTCTTTTTTTTCCCTGCTCTACTTTCCCTCCTTCTTTCCATTTGTCTGCAATTTTTTTTCTTTTCTTTTTGTTTTTTGTTCTGATGTTACTGTTTTGTCTGCCATGTTTCTTTTGTTTTTTTGTGTACATTGAGAGTTGGTTGTTTTTCACATGTGAGAGTATCTGGTTTCTTTTGGTGGTTGTTGTAGTTGTGCTTGCTGATCTGTTTTGCTCTAAAATCACTCTGCAGCAGGGCCCAGCCAAAGAGACACAAGAATCATCACACCCAGAGGCCAACTTTAGAACAAACCAGAGCATTACCAGGGTTGACTTACAAGAGTCACACCAAAGGGAAATCTCTATAGGCACAAGAGCCCATAGGGGCCAAGCCTCATCGGAGGGGTCAACCCTCACACAGCAGCTCATACACTGTGGACATAGCCAATCATCACAGCTAGTCAGCTTGAAAGTCAATCTCACTTACTGACAAACCAAAAGCAATCAAAGCTCAATTTCAACAGAAGAAGGCACACAACACAAGGAACACCTCTGGTACACACGCACAGGAGAAGAGGGAGACTGAGCAATTCAAATATAAAGGACACATACCATATAAGTCCACCCAGACAAGACTGAGAGACCTAGGGGATCTACCTAACACATCGAAGCAAGCACAGAGTAAGTCAGAATGGGGAAACAAAGAAACACATCCCAAATAAAAACAGAACAAACCTCCTGAATCAGTGGAACTAAAGGAAATAGAGGCAACCAACCAATCGGAGACAGAGTTTAGAACACTGACGATTAGAATGTTCAAGGAAATTAGTGATAATATAAACAAGAACAGAGAAATCATGCAAAATAATCAGCTAGAACTAAACAATATAATTACTGATATAAATAACAAACTGGAAGGAATTACCAGCAGATTGGATGAAGCAGAGGATCCAATCATCGACTCAGAAGACAAGATTCTACAGTAGAGATCACCCAAGCGGAACAACAACAAAAAAAAGAATAAAAAACATTGAAAATAGTTTCAGAGAGCTGGGCAACAACATCAAGCGCAACAACATGCGTATCATAGGAATACCTGGAGAAGAGAGGGAGCAAGGGATCAAGACATATTTGAAGTAATAATGTCTGAAAACTTCCCTACCCTGGTGAAGAAAATCAACATACAAGCACAGGAAGTACAGAGAGTTCCAACTAAGATGATCCCAAACAGGCCCACACCAAGACGCATTATAGTGAAAATGGCAAGGGTTAAAGACAAAGACGGATTCCTAAAAGCAGCAAGAGACAGTGACTTACAAGGGTATCCTCATAAGAATATCAGCTGACTTTTCTAGAGAAACTCTGCAAGCCAGAAGGGAGTGGCAGGAGGTTTTCAAGGTGATCAAAAACAAAGACCTACAACCTAGATTGCTTTATCCAGCAAAGCTATCATTTAAAATTGAAGGAGAGATAAAGAGCTTCCCAGAAAAGAATAAGCTAAAGGAATTCATTACCACCAAGCCAGCATTGCAGGAAATGTTAAAAGGGCTTCTCTAAGCAGAAGAAAGAGAAAAACAATCTAACTAATGAAGATCAGAAACACAAATAACTAAACGCCTATAACTATGCACCTATCAATAATCACATTAGGTGTAAATGGATTAAATGCTCCAATCAAAAGACATAGGGTGGCTGAATGTATAATAAAGCAAGACCCTTGCATATGCTGTATACAAGAGACTCACCTCAGATCAAAAGACACACAGACTGAAAGTAAAGGGATGGAATAAGATATTTCACGCAAATGGCAATGAGAAAAATCTGGAGTAGCAATACTTATATCAGACAAGATAGACTTTAAATTGAAGAATATAATCAAGGACAAAGAAAGGCACTACATCATAATAAAGGGATCGATCCAACAAGAGGACATAACCCTAGTAAACATCTATGCACCTAACATAGGAGCTCCTAAATATAAAAAACAGATATTGACAAACATAAAGACAGAGATAAACAGTAACACTATCATACTAGGGTACTTCAACACCCCATTGTCACCAATGGACAGATCCTCCAGACAGAAAATCAATGTGGAAACAGAGGCCTTAAATGACACATTAGAGCAGCTGAATTTAATTGATATTTTCAGAGCATTTCACCCCAAAGCTACAGAACATACATTCTTCTCAAGCGCACAGGGAACATTTTCCAAGATAGTCCACATGCTAGGCCACAAAACAAGTCTCAATAAATTTAAGAAAACTGAAATCATATCAAGTGTCTTCTCTGAACACAGTGCTATGAAATTAGAAATCAATTATAAGAAGAAACCCCAAAAGCACACAAATACATGGAGCCTGAATAACATACTACTAAATAGCGAGTGGCGCAAAATGAGATCAAGGAAGAAATCAAAAGATATCTCAAGACAAACAAAAATGAAAACACCACTATCTAAAATCTTTGGGATGCAGTGAAAGCAGTCCTAAGGGTGAATTTCATAGCAGTACAGTCCTATCTAAAGAAGCAAGAAAAATCTCAAATCAACAGGTTATCCTCACACCTCAGGGAACTGGAAAAAGAACAGCAAAATAAGCCCAAAGGGAGTACAAGGAAGGAGATAATAAAGACCAGAATGGAAATACACAAAATAGAGATCAGAAAAATAATACAAAAAAATCAATGAAACCAAGAGCTGTTTTTTTAAGAAGATAAACAAAACTGACAAACCTCTAGCCAGACTCATCAAAAAATAAAAAGAGAGCGATGACTCAAATTAGTGAAAATTAGGAATGAAAGAGTGGAAGTGACGACACCACAGAAATACAAAAATCTTTAAGAAAATACTATAAGCAACTATATGCCAACAAATTTGACAATCTGGAAGAAATGAATACATTTCTAGAAGCATACAATCTACCAAGTCTGAACCAAGAAGAAACAGAAGCTCTGAAACAGAAGACTGATTACTACCAAAGAAACTGAGTCAGTAATCAACGAGCTTCGAACAAACAAAAGTCCTGGACCAGGTGGCTTCACAGGTGAATTTTACAAAACATTCAATAAAAAATTAATACCTATTCTCTTCAAACTATTCTAAAAAATCCAGATGGAGGTAAGGCTCCCAAACTCTATGAGGCCACTATCACCCTGATCCCAAAATCAGACACAGATATTACAAAAAAAGAAAACTATAGGCCGATATCCCTGATGAACATAGATGCAAAAATCCTCAATAAAATATTAGCAAACAGAATTCAGCAATATATTAAGAATATCATACACCATGATCAAGTGTTGTTCATCCCTGGTATGCAAGGTTGGTTCAATATCCGCAAATCAATTAATGTGATACACCACATCAACAAAACAAAAAATAAAAATCACATGGTCATATCAATAGATGCAGAAAAAGCATTTGACAAAATCCAGCAGCCATTTATGATAAAAACTCTTAGCAAAATGGGAATAGAGGAAACACACCTCAACATAATAAAGGCCATATATTATAAACCTACAGCTAACATCATACTCAGTGGGGAGAAGCTAAAACCATTCCCCTTAAGATCAGGAACAAGACAAGGCTGCCCACTTTCTCCACTTCTATTCAACATAGTTCTGGAAGTTCTGGCCACAGCAATTAGACAAGAAAATGGAACAAAAGGCATCCAATTGGAAAAGAGGAAGTAAAATTGTCATTAT